ATAATTGTAAAAAAACATGAATAATTAATATTCGATGGGATGCTTAGAATATAATATGTATATTGTATAATGTTCACAACACAATATGTATAATTAATAAATATTATACATAATGTTACATGTTTTTATACTAGTCAGCTTGCTATGCATTTAAAATCAGAACAATTCAAAGCTGTACTGACAACCTCACAAACATTTGTCACCTATAGTATTAGTATGGTCATGTTCACTATAGTATCGTGAATGCCTAGTTTCCCAACAGATTGAATCATGTCAGACGATGAGCTTCGGAGACATTGAATAATGAGACCGGATTTCCATCATACGCACGTGCTGTATTGTGCGTGTTCTAAAGCACGTACACTGATATGGAATTCAAAGTACTATAAAAACCAATAATTGTAGACATATTTTGGATTTGAGATAAATGTACGACAACTGACAAGAGAAGTGTGTATCTAATGCTCGATTCAATATTGTAACTATATTATTAAAGTTTACTTACCTAAATATAAACAAAATAATATTCGTATGACGCATACCAAGTGGTATCAAAACATAAATTCCATGTAAATATGAGCACAATGCATAAAATAAAATATCCTATAATTGTTTTTATTATTATTATTGAGATTCAACATCTGTGGTCATTAGCCTGAGGTTATTAAGTAGGTATTAAACTGTGGGGGATTGTTTAATTAGTTAAAAAACGAGTATATGTGGTGAAGATTTTTCACTAAAACCCATTTGGTCACCCATCCGGGAACTAATGACACCATCCGATTCTTGACATCAGAACACGTTTGTGACTGAGGACAAACACCACGCCACACCAAGCTTCAGTTCAAAAATTATAACAGCCTTACTAACTGTTCATAAAAACACCAACAGTGGTCAAAGTACTGCAGTGTTATCTCTTTATAGTTTATTTTTTCTATTAGCATTTTCATTGCTTTACTTTATCTTCTTTAAAAATACCATTCACCATGTAATTAATTATAATAATTCTTGGATTAATTCCAACAGAAATAAAATATAATAATATTTTCATGAACATTTTATTTCATTGAAGTTATAATAACATTCAAAATTAAAACATTCTATTAAAATTAAGATTTGCTTTCTTACTTCCATTACTATCTATCCCCTACCCCTTGGCTCCTACCAAATTGTTTTGTGATAACTTCTTCGGAATCGACTGTTAAACGCATTCTGTAAGTATCAATTAATTTACTCATCATACTCATCAAAAGGCAATTACAATTATTCATCTATAGGAAAAACGCATATACGTTTCACGTTAAAACTGATTTACATGAAGAGAGGGACAATTACTAATAATTGTCTATTACTGAAACAAGAATCATTCTCATGACTTTTAAAATTTTTTTTAAATGTTATTATTTTAAACAAATATCACTCACTTCATTTTAAGTTAAATAATAATGTTATTATTTTTCCATGTAATATTATTTTAATAAGTTACATTTTAAAACTATACTTACCTATTATGTTTTTATGTGCCTACAGTTAAAAACTATAATAACATTGAAAAAAAAGACAACTACTATAATTCACAAATTTAAATTGATATTTGGCCACTCACAATATTTGGTAGTTATTATACTTTTTGATTTTTATTCAAACCAATTATTAAAATAAAAAACATGTAATGTGTTTTATTGGTTTGAAGTAAACAACACCATCAAGTGCTTGACTGGCTGTTTTGTTAGTATTTTCCATTTTTATACAAGTTCTCGTGATTTAAATTAAACTAATTTAAGTAAATACTAAATAGTAAATAATTGTTTTGTTTGTAACAATACTACTCTATTTTATGTTAGATTACTTTCATTGCAAATAAGTAATACATACCAACCTTATACTGTTGTAGTTCTACTTGTCCCAGGTTTTATATAAACCACACTTGAGTTTTAATCAACATTTTGTTTCATCTCAAAATTGGAAAATAATATATAGCATATGGCATACGTATACTAGCTGTATAATAATAATAATAATAATAATAATAATAATAATAATAATAAAAAAAAAACTGATGACAAATTACTTTTGTAACACATGGTATACAGTTTTAAAGTAAGAGTGAAATAGTATAATAAATCATTAAAGGAACTTGATACGATTCCAACCAAATATTAAGGTGTTCTCTATAATATAAGCTGTCAAAAATTATATTTAGAACTAAATTTATTATCAATTTTTAAACGAATAAAGTAATTTAAAAAAAAAATCGAAGATATATTACCGGAAATTACATGGCCCAATAACTTCACTTATTTATTTTGGTTATTATAACCGTATTATTACAGAATTACAAATCATTTTTGTGAATTTCAAAATATTACTAGAAAAGTTATTTTAATCTCTGTTAAAATATAAAATTATAAATCATAATTTGAACAAAGTCATAACTAATAATATCATCTGTTTAACTGTAATAATATATTATGTATGTGATCCTGTCACATAAATAATATAACTATATATGATTAATATAAGTTATATTTATGATAAATAATCGTACCTTTGGTGCAAAGTGTAAACCTATAATGTATAAACTATAAATTAATAAAAGATTTATTTGTAAAATGAAATATAGCTATCTTTAGGATAAAAATGTAGATCCAATAGATACTAATGAAAACAACGTTTACATTTGGCTTACAGTCATTGTCTTAGAGAAATATAAATTTTTTTGATTTGATTTGCTTTTAATTTGTACAATTAAAGTTTAAAAATGTTATTCTAGATGTATTTTATTGGTTAGCAGATATTTCAAAACAAAAATAAGTACGTGATAAATTATTATTCAAAATTATTATATGACAATGAGAGCGAGGATTGATCGAAACGAATGGGGGTGAAAATATATTATATTATTTATTTACATGCTCATATGTGTGTACTTGTGCACTGGTCTTATAGCCTATGGGTGGTATAGTTCTATATCTCCCCGAAACCAGACCAAATATAATTTGCTGAAATTTAATCATTCTCCACCGTTGTGGGTCCCCGGAGGCTATTTGAGTCTATGTGATCGGAAACCGTTATATTTTTTCCTTCATTTTTTGCCAACTGGCCGGGTAGTGCCCTAAAATAAAACATATAACTTTACCCTTCATGGCCACCTCCTTTATTTTATACTTCTTTCCACAGTAAAATGTTATTATATTTTTCGATACTACCGTGTATAGTTGTTTAAAAGTAAATCCCGCTAAGCCCTCAGGTCACAATACATGATTATATATTATGATAACCTAGAATTTTTGATTCTATCTTTTCACGGTGTACTCCTATTCTTTTGAGAACAATATATATATAAGTTAAAGGTTATATTAATACAAATAATGAAATAAATGAAAAAAAGTTTCTTTTTTATCATTTAATATTATAGTGACAAATCTTTAATTTGCTTCGTGCCTTGACTACAAAACGTTGTTTTCTTGGTTCGTATAATATTATCTATGGGTTTATGTGGTTTCGTGGTGGTATTTAATTATTACGCAATCCTTTTGCAAATATCTTACAAAACTATATAGAAGTACGGTTGATTTTATTTTTCAAAAAAATAATACATGTATACATAGTATTATCATATAAGTCTTATTCATGCCAAGCTAATATTATTGTAAAATATATCGTTTAGTATTTCGATTGGATATTATTTGACATTTACTTTTTTTTTTTTTAATATTTTGTCGGTCATACATATTATTTACTATACAGACTCGGTGATAGTATTAAATCATTTAAATGGGTGATAATATGACGATGGGAGAAAAAGAATTTTGCCCAGGGGTCAATTGTCATGCTCGAACTGATGACCATAAATCGGACGTCCGAACGGAAATCGCATCGATAAGTCCACCTTGGTAGTTGGCACAACAACGAGGTCAAGTTAGAATAATCGGCATGGACGCAGAAATAACAAGTGACTGTCTATGTTTATTGTTTAGTAATTTGACTCAAATCGTGGATGCACAATGTGAACATAATTTATTGTTTCGAATAATCTGGTCAAGCGAAATTTGTATGATTCTGAAAATCACAAATTATGATTAGAGGAAATTAGTCCTCCTCTAAATGAAATTTATAATTGAAAATGTGTACAGAGTTTGAGAACAGAACACTTTTTCAAATTAAACCGAATAATTACAATAACTAATTATTACAAACATGAGTTTCCCCAAATTGGCTGGCTTCTAAAACAAATTAGAAACATTATGAAGTAACCATCTTCCTTTGACGTCAACAAATATGATATAAGCCAAAATAATAAGAAGATAAATTTTGTAGACAGACGACCAGTATTTGATCAGCTTAAATGTTTGCACAAACCTCTGCGACGCGGAAATTAAAAAAAATCTGAACACGGTGTACACTACAAATTCGGACCTTCTATCAGACAGTTATTTTCCGGTCACATATTATAATATGTAGTCTCTGACAACTTCTATCTATCTCGTACTTCAAACGGATTCCTACTTCCGGTCGGCATGTATTTGACCCGTTGTCACCACGTGTTATAGGTCCGTGCCACCATGAATCCTACATCGACCGTTTTGGGTGAGTGTAGTTGGTCCGCCGCCGGTCACAATATCACATTATAGGACGCAAAGTGTGTTGGAATTTCCATGCATCACGTTCTCGATTTCTCGTCAAACATTTTAGTCGAATTTAAGTATGGATAGAGATGGCCAACGTCACCGAAACGAGACATGGACGGATCCCGTATGAATGATCTATTATCTTTAAACATATTATCATGTCTAGACTTTTAAAAAATACTACAATAACTTATACCATCTACATACCTATAAGTTAATAAAATAATTATTGCATGACATTTTTATGCCATCCGACGAATCTTTGGTGATATTGGGGAAAATATTCTATCGTTACACAAATCATTTCCAGCTCAGAATAAATGCGTGGATATTTAATTTTTTTTTCATACGTGACTATTTTTGTTTCAGATTGTATGGTTAAGGGTGAATTCATCATACCGTGCACAGCAGTCGAAAACGACCTAATGGTATAGTATTTATGACAATATTTTTGATAATTTTTAATGATGATTTGTTATACAAATAGTTGCATTAGCCTATACCCGCAGTTATTGTCATGTGCAAAATAATTAATCGTAAAAAATATGCTGACTACAGTATTGGTAATAATTTTAAACTATAAATTTGACCTAATAATATCCACCCCGCTACGTAAAATGTTGTATTTAAAATATGTTATAATACCTATAATAGTATACTAAAAATTCACAAATCGATTATTTTAATTTGTCCGTCTGATAATTATATTTGAACAATCTATTTTCTAATTATTTGGTTTAATGCACTATTATACATTTAAAATTTAATATGTTCATAAAAGCAGGCTGATCAGTTGGGTTAGGCTTTACTATAAAGTATACAACCACAAGCAGTTTCCTTAATACGTATAATCAAATTAAAATGTACACATTACACGAGTATGTGCCTCGGCTAGTATTGATTTAAATCTAAAATCTAAAAATACCTAATAATAATAAAACTAATAAATTATATACTGGATATGTACATTATAATATTCCGTTAGAGTAAAGTATTGTAAATACACACACATGTTTCCATTTTATTAAAGTTTTAAGTTACTTTAAACAATGATAGTTACAATTGTAAGACTACTTTTTAATTCGTCACTGTATTTATTGTTTTTATTGTCACAAAGAATAAGTGTATTTTTGAGAGTTTATAACAGAAGATTATGGCACACGAATGTGCTTTGGAAAATTTCATAACTTTTGGTACCTAATGTCACTCTGGTGAATAACGCTCACTATGAAAAAAAAATTGTTAAAAAGAAAATGATTTATTAAGAATCAAAAGTTCCTTATTTAACACATCAAAACACTTTTTTTTAATTTATCAGACTTAAAATATATTATACACGAATACACCTAATATAACACAATTTATTTACGAGCACATGAAAACAGATCAATAACCATAATAAAATTCATCTCGTTAAAACTCAGAATTTGTTATCAATGAAAATATTAAATTTGATATAGAACATAATTTAAAAAATGTGTATTATCTTATATTTCTAAGATTACTATAAAAAAAAAGTATCAAAACCATTTACACTTGTTTTCCAATATAATTTACACTAGATATTTTTTCTATTTATTCGATATAGTTCACTAATCATGTAATTGGTAATCGTATAATAAAATCCGAATAACTCATACATTTATAAAACCACCAAGTAATGTTAGTGTTGAGAATAGACAATTAAAATATCGAGTAGATAGAGATAAGATACAGATAAAAATAAATACATTTTACTTTTACTTTTACTGATTACCTATTTAATAATATGTATTACTAATTTTTATTTTATGTTCTAAAATGTATTATTTTATTAAATTTAACGATGAATTTTGTATTAAAGCTGTAGATCTATGTCAACATTGGCGTCAATAAATTGACACGCGTTGTCCAAGATTCACAAACAATTATTTCATTTTTATAAAATAATAATGATAAATCCATGTTTTACACCTTTTTTACATAGTACAAGGCTTTTAAAATAGATTCATGAAACGCATACCATTCTATGGTTATGCTTTAATTATTTCAGCACTTTCTAAACTTGGACCACCGAGTAAGTGCCCTACATTATTCATAATTTATTATTCGAGTAATTTTTTTTTTGTTTGTTGACATGTATTAGACTTTTAGCTATTTAACAATAAATTTAAAAACTTGTACATCAACATACAAATTATCACTCACCACACTTTGATCAATAATAGAATTTGATTCCATCACACAAAACATTATTACAACATATACAATGATATTGTGTTATTTACAGTAATATAGTTCTTATCATTACACATTTATATGATAATATTGAATACAATAATTAGTTAGGAACTTGTGTACATTTTAATAAACTGTTTTCTGTGTAATATTTTTTTTAAGAACAATTTTTTCATAAAAATAAAAATAAATTTTTATAACTATTTATTAATTGTGTAAGTGGAGTAAAATTCTTTCAGTTATATTATATCATATAGAATAATTATAATTATACTATAATAATGTGTAATAATCATGAGTTAATAAAATTATAATACGTTTATTTAAAAATTATATTTATGGATAATAATATTATTATCATTGCATATGATTATATAATACACTCAATTACCTTCATCGTCGTGTGCTATAATTACCTAACCTGTCAAGAAGGGGGTGTAGCTAAAATGCCTATTCATAACGCCGTATGATCGTAATTGTATCTTTCAAACGAATGCACATTATTTAAACAACATAATATTATTCAATAATTATTGTAATACTTATAGAATGCTCAAAATTAAAAGTTGAATATTTGTAGATATTAAAACAATTTTTTTTTTAATTTTTGGACCTGTTCAAATAAAAAAAAACTTGTAAGAACTGATAAAACTAAATTTTAAAATATGAGTTCAAGTTTTGCTCTTATACAATTAAAAAAATACAACAGTTCTAAAAATGTACATCAATTCTTTTCAAATCGATTCCAATCTATTCCTTCTTAAATTATATGATTGACTAATAAATCCTGTGTGATATAATATTTATGGGCAAAATATTTTTTTAAATTAAACATCATCTCAATAATACATCTGAGTTTTATTATAGCTGTTTAATATTATAGATAAAAATGAATATGAATATAAAAACACATTAACTAGGCTACTGTAATATATACGTTGAATTTTAATTCAACACTAAATCATGCAAAAAAAAAAAAATGTCTCTAAGTGATGCACGGAGAAAATGTCCATCTTTGAATTTTAAAGTATATAATAGGTTTATAATTTATTTAAAAAACAATGAGTAATCAATTTTTTTATTGATAATACGTTATATTAAACTAATTTTTGATGAAAATATACTTTACAACAATTATTACAATCAATATTATATTAAATATTTTTGTTATTAACTTAGAAGTCAATAACGTTTGTAGTCATAAGGATATTATTTTTTGAATGACAGCCAAATAACTGAAATAGGAAAAATTATAATATTATTCTGTTTAAATATTCAATTTCATCAAAACTAAAACTTCAAACGCTTATAAAAATTGCGATTATGCAATTTGTTATTTTTTAATATTTCTTTAAGAACAACTTATGAAGAATATTGTGTCAAATTGTCAAGCTTTTTACTTTGAAAAAGGGATTTAATCAGCATAAATCGTACATTTTTTTTTAAAAGCTCAAAGTGTAAAATGTCTAAAAACAATATTTTGAAAATTGTCAAGTCTAGAAAATTTTGATTTAAATATTTAGTCTAATTTATGGCTGTTCATTTTTGAATTATTTTCAATGACTAATATGCTTTAATGTTTTCGTTTTTTCATACATTTATTTCAGTTTTCCCGATCGCTTGAAAGGTATAAGGAATTTCTTCTAATAGAAAAACAATTTTTTTTTTAATTGAGAATTATGAAATAAAGCGGGTAAGTGAATGTCGCTCTGCTGTTCATTAGGTGTCTGTAATGGATGGCATTAAATTTGAATTCAATGACATGATATCATTGAATAAGAAAAACGATTCTGAGTGGAAACGGTATGACAGTTTAGGATATTTTATATTGTTATTACTTATTATTAATATGGTGGCCACTAGCCGGTAAGTTGAATTAATATTATTCTTAAATTATCAGTGATGCTGGAAAAATATTAAACATACATTTTTAAAATTGGGCTGTTTTGGAACCGAATTACAATAAAATGATAAACGTCATCCTTTGTGTTAATGTATAATTTTGGCGAAATTTGAAATTAAAATGTCTATAAAAAATAACTGTATTCGTATATTTTTTTTTAGATTTCTTAGTTACGAAAAATACTGCTGAAGTGAAACTTTGTTTAAAGCTTTTAATCCTTAGCTATAAAAATTGTATACATTTTTAACTGCAAAATAATTTTCAATTTGATAAATATTGTCAAAATTTGAACTTTAAATGCTTATAAAGGAAATAAGTTTATAAAATCTTAAAAAAATGTTGTGGATTTACTCCCAACTTTTTTTTAATTTCCATTAACAACAATTTTATTACATTTACAAGTTTTTTGGCAGAACGAATATAAAAATGTGTTTATTGATCAAATTATTATTTGATAAGATATATTTCTTCGTTTTTAAATGTCTAAAAAATGTTTAACTTGTACAGATTTTATAGAAATCTTTATTATAATAACAGTATTCTATAGGCTTATATTTCATACAAATATATTAAATCTTTAAAATTGATGAAAAATGTGTTTAGTTTGTCCTTGTAGTAGTTAAGTACTGGAAAACAACACCAAATCATGATATTCTATAAAATAGAATCATATTTTTAAAATTAGTTTTCCTTAATTATTGTTATGAAATCACTGTACACATACATTTTTATAATTATTAGTACTTAAATAAGTGAATGAATTATTGTGTTCTACAACTTTTATAATAATATATTATCCAGGATTTACGTTACGAATTCTTGTTACATTTTATGTTATTTATTTTGTAATATAGTCCTATGTAACCAGTCAACCAAGAACTAATAAGAAGCCCACCTGTATCCCAGCCAAAAGATAATAAGTTTATAGTGTTGAGTCACCACGTTAGTGTTAAATGCATATTATATAATGATATTAAGGTATCATAATAGCTTTTATGACTTTTCTTAAATATGTTAGCTTAGTATAATCAACTCAACTGTAATTTAGTTTTTAATATCATGTTTTGTATTATTATATTGTTATAATAAATTATATAAACAAATAAAAATGGTAAAAAGGCAATATTTAAAATCCTCGTCTATAAAATACATTTTAATCCTTAGCATTTATTTTAATTCATCGTGTTAAACTATAATACTATATCACAACACTATTACCGAAAATAAATATTTTATGTTCGGTAATTTTTATAAATATCAATATAACCAGCAAAACTGCATACAACTTATTATTATGCTAAATATAAT